ACAGAACGACGAGCCAAACTACTACGGGTGAAACGCCCTTCTCCATGACGTATGGCGTCGAGGCAATGCTCCCTGTAGAAATCGAAACGCTAACCTTGAAAACCGTCGTCCACAACGAGGATGACAACACAGAAGGAATGAACGGAGAACTCGACTTGTTGGAAGAAAATAGGCTCGACTCCCAACTACGCCTTGCCGCCTATCAGTAAAGAGCAACACGATATTACAACAAGATAGTTCGACAAAGAAGGTTCGTCCCAGGAGACCTAGTATTAAAAAGGGTAACGCAGAACACAAAACCCAAAAATACTGGTCCACTAGGCCCAACTTGGGAAGGGCCCTACCGCATAAGGGAAGCGTTGCATCCTGGCACCTACATTTTGGAAAGCCTCGGCAACAAAAGAATTCAACACCCATGGAATGCAGAGCAACTAAGGCTGTACTACCAATAGTGTATGTAATTCTTCCGCATCCCAATTGTACATTCTTTACGAATTAAATAAATTGATATGTTTGCAGAAGGAAAGGAATTCACCCCTTAATAACATGTCTGCTTAAAAAACCAAGGTATATTAAACAGACATGGGGGGACAAAGGTCTACGGATCGCTAAAAAATGACACGACCAAGGGGTGAAATCGGCGTCAGATCCTCCAAAGGAGGAAAGACGAACACTTAGCAAAATTCTAAGGAATTTTCTAAGGCAACGACCCCAAGGGGTGAAATCGGCGTCAAATCCTCCAAGGAGGAAAGACGAACACTTAGCAAAATTCTAAGGAATTTTCTAAGGCGACGACCCCAAGGGGTGAAATCAGCGTCAGATCCTCCAAGGAGGAAAAGATGAACACTTAGCAAAATTCTAAGGAATTTTCTAAGGCGACGACCCCAAGGGGTGGAATTAGCGTCAGATCCTCCAAGGAGGAAAGACAAACACTTAGCAAAAATTCTAAGGAATTTTCTAAGGCAACGATTGCAAAGCAAGGTATGAATAAAATCTGCTATCTTTATTAAAAATACAGATAAAATGAAAAGATGTCCAAATCAATGTCAGGTTACAAAAAAAAAAAAAAGGAGAGAGAGAAGGGTAAAAATTTTTAGGCCTCGCCGCCAGCCGCCGATTCATCGCCATCACCAGGCGGGGAAGGGTTGTTGTCGCCAGCAGGAGGAGGAGAAGTATAGAGGAAGCTCAAGTCCCACTCAGGACGCTCATTTTTTATCAAATCAACAATCTGTTGACCCGCAGTTTGAAAATCCTTGGTACGGATGTCGATGAGCTCCGAGGAAGCCTTAAACTTCTCAATAATTTCAGCACGCTTGGCATCGAAAGTAGCTGCAGCCTCGGCTTCGGCTTCCTTCTTCCCCTCGGCCTTCCCTTCGGCAAAACATTTTTTCACTGCCTCAGTTGCTTCGGCCAACTTTACATCGGACAGATCTGCCCGCTTGGTAAGCTCCTTGACCGAAGCGGTCAACTTGGCCAGTTCATCTTCCAAACTCAACAGTTTGGCCACAGCCATATCTCTCTCCTCGACGGCATCCGAGCACTTTTTCTTGGCGTCGTCGATAAGAGAGTTGAGCTTGGCCTCCATGCTGTCCATCTCCTGATTTCGTTCCTCAACCTTAACTAGCTCGAGGAGATTAAGAATGGCGAGGATTAGGCCCTGACAAATTAAAGGTCAGAAAACAAGGATACAAAGCGGTGAAACCAGCAAAAATGAAAGACAACTCGACCAAGTCTTACGTGAATTTGGAAGGATATCTACTTTCGCTGGCGATCAACCAAAGAAGATTGAGTGGCAGCAACCCAATGTGGCTCAAGAAAAGACTCATACAGAGCCTGGAAAGCAAGGGCAACAAGTTTTAGCATCGCCCCAATCTCAGCGTTAGAAACGTCCGGGACTTGGAACTTGGGATCCATAATCTTAGCCCCCAGAATAAGTACGCGTTCCCTCGGTGCCAGAGGAATGTCTACATCAGGAATGGGGACCGTCGGCGTCCAAGTTTCTACTACCGGCGTCTTCTCTTTGCACCTCTTTTTTAGCGTAGGATCCTCCTCCGTCGTTGAGGGAACCCTTGCGGCTTTCCTTTTCCTCGGCACCTGAGAAGAAGAACTTGCTTTCTCCTTTCCCTTAGAAGGAGGTTGTTGGCTCGGCAGGGGTTGCTGGCTTGACTCGGACAGTTGACTGCCGGGAAGCTGAATCCTCAAAGATGTCATTTCTACAGAAACGACGAGACAAAGATATAGTTAGCGTTTGGAAAACGAAGGGAGTCGAAAGCAGAAATTACCTTCGTCGCTTAAATGAAAGTATTTACGGACGGCGTCTAGATCAGCGGGGTCTGGGAGATCAATGATTAACCCGGCACTTTGAAGATTGGCTTGGGTCAGGAGGGTGTCAATGTGACGAACCTCGGACGGGAACGAAAAGGCCTTCTCGATCCTCGCCAAGCTGTTCTCAGAAAACTTAGGCCGGTCCTAACTGACTGAAATATAAAAAGACTGTCGGCGTAAGAAAGGAGAAAGCAAAATAAGGTGAAAGAAAGGAAATCAAAGCCTCATCCATGTTCCCAAACGACGCCTGCACCATCCTTCGGCGGGGCAAGCGGTCGTCAGGATGAAAATTGAAGGGGTCGCGTATCATAAAAAACATGGGTTTCCACCCATGTGACGACGAGGGAATGCCCATAATTAGCTTGCCAAATCTGGGCTGAGATCTCCCGTGCCCGCTCAGAAAATACCATCCTTCGCACTTGGCAACATGGCACAATCTGTACATGAATCTAAACTCATCCAGAGGAAGATCCATGTCAAACTATTGGTGCCATAGGATCCAGGCGCCAGCGAAGGAGTACCAAAAATTTGGCGCCAGTTGGGCGGAGAAAATGCCGTAAAAGTGGCAATAATCCTTTACGAAGGGATGAACCGGAAGGGTCATCCCCGCAGTAACGGCCCTGGTGTAAACATGGAGGAATCCGGTCGGGGGCATACTGGTCCTGAAATGCATGTCTGGGAGGAGGTATTCGAACCACCTCCCGTCGTTGCATCCTTCCTTCACCGCCCGGATGATATCCTTATTCCGGACCCTCGACGCCACAGAGTCAACTGTGAAGAAAGGCTGATCCGGGTTTCCACTTGTAGCGGCCAGCGGGGCATCCACTAGAGAAGCGGCGACGCCACACACGTTGCCGCCCATAAAAGGCCTCCTGTCGACGTCTTCATCGATCATTTGGCAGACGCTGTCATAAGCATCACTACCGTCGTCGCTGGGGCCGGCCGTATGTCCCTTGACTTCCCGCAACAACGAGTCGCAGTCCGATGAGGAAGATGACCATGAGATCTCCACCATAGAAGGGGAGTTTGGACGGACGACGGAGGGATCCTCTCGACTGGGGGAGTTTTGGGCCATTATTCTGGTGATTAAAAAGACAAGGAGTTGAGTTAAAACCCTAACATCGAGAGAAAGAAAAGGATGGCTAATCTAAACGACGACTACTCAAACACCTCGACTTGACGTCGACCATTCATGTAAGAATGATAACGGTGAGTACTCATGGTACCCCGAGTTCCCTAGAACCCAGGAGCTAGAAGTGCGCAGACAACCAAAAGACAGAAAAAGAACTCTTCTATGCGGAAAAATAAAACGGAGTAAGTCTCCCTACCCTCTACATTCCACGTATTTTCATACATACATGATTCAACAGGGGAAAACCCATGAGAAACAGAACAAGCAGAGGATGATGGGGCTTACCGATATGAAGATTTCCGGGTGGAGTCTGGGATTAAATGCAGCTTCACAACACGCCTGGAAAAATGAGGAGTACGAGTCAGTGTTTTGCAGAAAAAGATTCCGACAGAGCAAACGATAGTTCAGTGAATGCGGGGAGTGTTTGTGTTTTGGAGAAAAAATGGTTTTTGGGTTCAAAGAGGGTATTTAAGGAGACAAAAGTCCTCGACCCTTGACCGTTGGATGAAGTTCTTAGAATCCAATAGCAAGAGAATCCCGCCTAGATCTGACGATGACAAACAAGGGTGGGAAAAGGAAGAGTCGTGATTCGAAGGCTCACATTCATCCTTTCGAAATAAAGCCTCCCGTCAGCACAAGAAATCGACAGACGTGACGGTTGCGTCTCTCAAAGAAATCCGAAGCATCCAGGCCATCATTGCGGACGAAGGCTCGGGACCGGTTTCCCACACCCGAAGCATCTAGGCCATCATTGCGGACGAAGGCTCGGGACCGGTTTCCCACACCCGAAGCACGGAAGTACGACTGAACCTAAGCTCGAGGCCGCCTAAAAGGAACCCTCGACCTGGGGGGTAGCTGTTGTGTGGGAAAATGTGAAGGACACGTGGAAGAACGATAATATGACACGTAGCCTTAACTACTCCCCGCAAAGCAAAAACCCTCGACGCCTCGGGCTCCCTCCGATTCCGTTATAAAGAACCCAAGTGAAAAGTCCAACTTAGGGCGTCGATTCCTCCTGGCGTCAACAGATCGTACCGTCGACCTTAGGACATAGAAATCCCTCGACGGTGGAACTAACAGCCAAGAAGGACAGTTGGGTTAAGCAACACTGGCGACGAGGGGAATGCTCTTTGGGAAAAGGTCTGACGTGGCAGATTGCGTACAAAAGTGGGGGATGACTGCAAGGTAGGCATCTTAAACTGCCCCACAGGGGGCAGAAAAGGGTTATATGAACGCACAGAGCCGTAATATAAGACTAATTAGCTGAGTGAACAGTGCTCAAAGTGATTAGTGGGCTACGACTGGGCCTAAAAAGGGAGAGCACTTGAGTGCTTCTACCTACGAAGGAAATCAACCCAACGAAGGAAGCTCCCAATATAAAATGGGCAAGACCCCATACAGGAAAGGGGTTGAGATCCAAGAGAAAAAAGAACGAAAAAGAACAATTCATGTAAATTGTAATCCTCTCACAAGAAATATACAACCACAGTGGATGTAGCTCTGATTTTATAGAATGAACCACTATAAAATCTCTTGTGTTCTTTATTTATACATATCTTTCATCAACGCACAATACACTCCTTTAACAAATTCTCACACACACTCAACACTAAGGCCGGTAATCCAACGGGAAACCCAGAGGTAACCCAACCTGTTTTTATTGATGAAATTTCACCGTCAACACTAATCTTCACAACTCACACAACACTAATTTACACCATAATCCTTCCATCTATATGACACACGCCATGAAAAAAAAAAGCCACAAAATGGAGAATTTGGCCTTGAATATACGAGTCTAAGCATTTATTTTTGATAAATATTATTTTATTAATGTAATTATTTAATTAAAAAAATTATAAATTAAGAATAAATGATAAAATTTTAACCTATATATTTTTAAAGAGTGTTAAAATTACCCAAAAAATTATGAATTTAAAAGAAAAAATAAATATCCTAAAGCATATAATTTTAAGATAATTTTAAGAGTATTTATCAGATTAAAGATTATGATTAGGGTAAGCCCAACTTTTTAATACAAACTATTCACGCCCAATTACAGACTCAGGCCTGAACAAACCCACCATGAACTTCTAGGTTATGCCCGGTGACGAACTCAGACTCATCGCAGGCAAGGAACAGCACCGCATCCGCCACGTGTCGCGTTTTCAACACAATTCCCTTCAAGCTAGAGAACGCCTCGTACCTCTTCTCCAGCTCCGCTGCGCCGACGCCGTTGGCCTCGCACGACAGCGGCGTCGCCACCCCGCTCGGCGACACGCAGTTCACCCTTATCCCGTGCTCCCCGAGCTGCAGGCTCGCCGACCGGACCAGTCCAAGCACAGCATGCTTCGCCATGTGGTAGTCCGTCCACCTCCGTCCACCACGCGCCGCCGCCACGCTCCCCGTGCACACGATGCTCCCCCTCACGCGCCGCACCACCATCACACGCGCCGCGTGCTTCAAGCACAGTGCGACCCCGCGCACGTTAACTGCCATCAGCCGGTCGAAGGCGGCGAAGTCGAGGTCGAGGACGTTCTGGTCCGACCGACTCCCGACGCCGGCGTTGCAGAACATGATGTCGAGCCGACCGTGGTTCTGGACCGTTGACTCGACCGTGGATTTGACCTGGTCTTCGTCTGTGACGTCGCAGTGGGCGTAGGTGCAGCGGTCGGACCCGATTGATTCGGCGACGTGGCGGCCGAGATCGTCCTGGATGTCGGCGATGACGACCATTGCTGTGCCGCGGTCGGCGAAGAGGCGGGCGGTGGCCTCGCCGATACCGCTGGCGCCGCCGGTAATTATGGCGACTTTGCCTTGTAACCTTGTGTTGTTGGCAGTATTGACGAGTGTTTTTGACATTTTTGTTTCTTTTTTTGCTAGGATGTTGAGTCTCAGTTGAATGTGGCTCAAAAAGCACAAGAAATATCTCCCACAGAAGGATAAAGATATCATGCGAAGCTATGAGAATTGTCAACCTTCAAGTGGATTACGTGCGAATGTTCATGAATACACGTTCTACGTGTTGTAGGCCCGTTCATTTTATTAATTCAATTTTTTTATAGTAAAAAATTTTTAGAAATAATCACATTTAATTTTTTTATTACAGTAAAAAATTCTTATATAAAATAATATCTAAATTCAAATTAAAAATTCGAACAAGTGAACTAAACGGACCCGTAATATACATTATAATCCTACGTTTTGTAATGTTAAAAGTGTTGGAAAAATGGCTTAATAAGCCATGTTAAAGGTTTATATTAAAATGGAGCTCAATTATATTTTCAGACGGGTCTCGATAAAATTGCGTTCTCCATCACGAGTAGATCGAAATTGGATATTCACACACTCAAAATGGATATTGGGTGAATGCAAAATTGATGCTCTATGTAAGCCACTTGGAATGGCTAAATAGGTTGGAAATTGCAAAAATCTCACGTTGACTAGGAATGAAGCCTTAGTGGCGTATATAAGTGATTGCACTTTGAAGCCTAGGTAAGCATGTATACTTGAAAGACTCTCTCACGCGCAGGAGGGTGCGAATCATGACCCCGGCGTGTTAGGGGCCCAATGTGTGCGCCTACGACCTGCGGACATGAATGCTGGACTGAAAAACACACTCCGTGCGGGCCTTGTTTTGTAATTTTTATTTTATTTTTGACCAAAGAAAGGCCTAAGACCTTTCACATTCCGGCCAAAACTGAAATTGGCTTGCATAATGGTGATTAAAGGGGCTTAATGACTTGTTTAATGGCCGAGCTTAATTGTGAGATAATGGCTAGTTATGGCTTCGATTTTTCTTTTTAAAATATGAACCTAGCTATGGCTTGTGGCCAGATTCATCTCAGAGGAAGGAGCACAGTTTTACACCATAAAGTTTGGACCATAATTGTGTGATTAAGTTTTATAATTCCTTGTCTTATAACCCCTTTCTCAAGAGTCTATATAAGGCGTGTAACACATGAAGGAGAGGACACAACAAGTTGCAGCACACATCCCTTCTCTCTCGTTTTTCTTTCCTTTCCTTTCTCGAGTTCTTTTTGTGGTCATTTTCGATGATAGAGGAAAGGTACAGTTCGCTAAGACAGTTCTGATAGTGCTTCGTGCTACCGTCGTTGTCATTGTATCATGAGAAACGGACGTCTAACGTAACCTCAAGCACTCGCCGGAGGGGATGAATCTATTTTAAGGAAAACGTGGTTCATGTGCCTTAACATCCTTGCCAATTCAAGTTTTTCAAGTTTGGTAGAAAGGTTGAATTTGTGTTGTAACAAATCTTAATATATTGTTCTTGCATCAACTTTATTTATATTTTTTTTCTTTGTATTATCCATATTATCCATATTATTGCTAACAAAAAGGAGTTCTACATATTGTATTTTTTTTTTCTGAATATACGTATTGTGTAATGTTAAAAAGAGCAAGAGCAATCCTACACGAGGATTTTATCCCAGTAAAAAATCAAATGTAAGTGCATGTTTGGTTGGTGGATTGAGATATTCAAATCATGTGATTAAGGTTGAATTTGTGTTTGGAAGTCCAAAATGGGTTAGAATCGGAATGGGTGATTGAGATCATTTGGGTTCCTGATTGAGATCATTTTGGAATCAGGCCCCCCCTGATTTTACCGTTTGAAACCCAACCGCACAGTAAAAACACTGTGCTCATAATGCACCCCACCCACCTTTCTAAAATCCCTTCCTTCTTCTCTCGTGCTTAGGCAGAGAATCTGCAAGCTTTTCCTCTCACGTGCTCAGCCTTTTTTGGAAACTCTCTTCCTCTTCTCCCACTCTACTCTTCTCGTCGGCTGCTCTTGTTTACAAGTGTCAAATCGGTCGGCGTTGATGAGAAGTGGCCAGAGTAAAGGGGTTTTTGTCAAGAATCAGAGAAAACTCCACATTCGTTACCAATTTCACCGATTCTACTGAAGTCAGTTCATTTCTTGTCTTCACCGGAGAGAGGACAGAAGGTCGTTACGGACTCGAAAAAAACCATCCTCTGCGCTTGGAATGCTGCATGCGTTGTCCTTCATCTCGTCGTCGGACTCAAACTCTGTAACGGTATGCTCTCCTGACTTCTGCAATTTTTTGTTTTACCGTTCAAATGAGTTGTTGTGATTTTAGTTTCTGGAGACAACCCTAGTGTTTATTTGGTTGTGATTTTAGTTGTGACTTTGATTTCTGGAGACCGGATAGTGTTTGGTTTGATTGTGACTCTAGTTTCTGGAGATAGTGTAGACTTGGTTGTGATTTTCGTTTCAATTTTTGGTAAAGTTTGTTCTTCAATTTGACCTAATTTTTTTTGTGCTTGAGTATGATAATTTCTGGTTGACTATGTTGGCGGCAAACTGATGCTGTAACATTGTTTGTAAGATTTGTGACTATCATCATTTTTCTTTTTGACTGAGATATTTTCCAGAATGTAAATGCCAATTCTTGGCATAGAATATCTTGTGATTGGAATGCTTGAAATGCATTGGAATTGTGTGTTTCCACACTGCGAATGTGTGTATTTTCCTTACTGCCTATACTTGCACACTCTGAAGCTTTTTTACTGAATTTCTCTGATTTTCGCTGCACATGATTGAGAACATGAGATATCACTTATCGGTGTACAAGGGACAATTATTGTGTCAAGAAAATAATGTTCTAATTGGGTACTAATCTTGAATTTCCTTTGTGAACATACCTTTTAGGTTTTCTTAAGTCTATAAAAAAGAATTACAACAAAATTTGAGGTTATATTCAGAAGTTGTAGGGTGCAGGTGAGGCAAAAAAAATCCATTGGGATCTCCTCATGGTCAGGGCTTGTTCTTCTAAACTCTTATGCACACGATTAAGTGACAAATTATAATGCAGGCGTAAATAGTCTTCAACACTATTTGTAATTTAGTCTTCTTATGTAATAGGAAAAGATACCCTTTGGTTGATTTCGTTTTTGCGAGGACGTATCATTGTCATATATGTGTGTGTTCCTTAAAATAAAAAAGAGAAATTGTTATTTTTGTACCCTGCAATGAGGTTTTCAAAAAGTTATATATTGTTGCATTAGTTTTATGTACCCTCAAATTGTCAGTTTATGCTCAATCTGTGCAATCCAAAGACCAAAGGAATCATTTGCTTGAAATGAGTGGTTGTTGCACAGCATTCTCACGTAGTGGGAGTAGATAAACCACTACATTATTATGAAAATTTTCTTGAAACCATAACATAATATTCCATTTCCAGCAAAAGGTAAAGTACAATAATATTCCAAAGAAAATACTTTCATTTGCACTTAATAATGGATCTCTCGTTGCATACTCACGGAAAATAATTGCTTATTTTGTACTCTGCATTGATTCCTAGTCATTTTTGTCATTGTGGGTTGAATGCATTTTTGCATGTGTTGTCATGCTCTTGGTCATGATATGCGTGTGTGGAGTTTCCCTCAAAGTTAGCATATTTAGAATTATTTATAGGAGGATACTTTCCTTTTCCTCATTTTTAGGGATTTGATACATTCTTTAGTTATGTAAATTGTGTATATAAGTGTGTATTGGTTGCCGACTAATTGTAATGAGAAAAAAGAAGAGTTTTCTTCCTCAAAATCTTAAGCGTGTGTAGATGGCAAGGAAAACTAGAGATGATAGGCCACTTTTTTAGAGCACTGCTGTAGAGGCTTTTCTACTAGAGAGACTGTACGAATACCACGACAATAACCATGGTCGCCAACCAGAATCTCGTCACTATAACCAATGGGCCTCAGAAATAGCCACCTTTTTGATGGCTATGTTCCTAATGGTGAGCATCTTAGGGAGAAACGCCGCCGACTGGGTAAGCTATACGCCGTGTACAAAATGTTACAAAATCATACAGGAGTAGGTTGGGATCCTATCACTACAACTTTTACCTGCTCGGAGGAGCTGTAGAAAGATCTTTGTAAGGTAAGATATGGGATTCATTATACTCACAAAAACCATCCTCATATTTAAACTATCACAAATTTACCTATCTTCTATGAGGTTACTAACCAGTTCTCTAATTTATTTATAGAGAAACCGTGATGCGAAAACATTGTTTACTAGTGGTTGGAAGTTAAACGGGGTGTACTTGGCTGTCATTTTCCCAAGTAAAGTTGGAGCTTCTGGTTTAAGTGCATATCACCCAAATGCAGGAGAAGAGGCAGCGGATGATGCACCCGTTGAAGATCTTACTGCTACTGATGAACAACAACAGGCTAACCAAGATGTTCCATACCAGAATATCGATGATGAAGATGTTCGTAATGATCTTGCGGAACGAGTCGATCGTTATGGACAGCGAAATGTCACAAATATCGCCTCATCGTCACGTGTGATTCGGAAGAAACGGTCCACAGGAAGGAAATCCAACGATTCTTCGCGAGACATGCTACTCTCTCTAGTTAAGGAAATGATAGATGATTTGAGAGAAGATCTTCGTACAACCAAAGAAAGCCAGCCAAGTTACAACACCGTAAATGGCCCTAGGGAAGCTGACATCATCTTAAATTTGTTTGGGGAAATGGGAATTGATAAGCGTACGTAAACTCATGCTTTTGACAAAATCATGGCTTCCCCCACTTGGCGGCCAGTTTGGGGCAAAATTGATGAAGACATGAGGCGGACCTTTATTAGTGACTTTGTTGAAGTCCCACAAACTCCACTTGTGCATCATACTCAGGATCCTTATGGCCAGCGATCTCGTAACTTCTCTCAAGTCCCAAATCCTTACAACCAGCCACCTAACCCATACAATCACCCACCTAACCCCTATAAACAACCCCCTAATCCATACAATTAGCCTCCACATCCCTATAACCAACCACCAAACCCCTACAACCACCCATCTACGCCTTAGATGGCCAAGTGTAGTTTTACATGGTCCCATTTTCCCCTATGGTGGACCACGGATTAGTGTCTACTAATAGCATTCAAGTGTTGTCTACTTAGACAGCTTTAT